CTGTCAAAACGCTGTAAATGCATCTTGTGGGTGTATCTGTCAGAGTTTCTGGCCCTCTTCAGGCTGCAGAAAAACACCATGCTGCAATTGTGTGCGTACAGCAGCGGCAGCGAGGGCTGCTTGCTTCACAGCCCCCTTGGTAGGCTTTAGGTGTTCTCCCAAGACCCATTCTACTGCTTGCCATTTATTCCAGCCCCAGTAATACTCATAGTGCTGCCCTAGAACAAAGCTGGCAGTGTTACAAGAGGTGAGTGGAGCGGTGCAAACGAGAGCGGGGAGCAGAGAGGGGGAAAAGCAGCACTGGGAAGCTGCGCTGTGTTCAAAGGTGGTTGAAAGGAGTGTGCTGGCAGTGCCACGCTTCTAAAACGACCTCTTTGACAGTATTATGGTTGGTTTTCACTCGACCTGTTTATAAATATCTGCTCCTTGCTCCAAATTCCTTACTTCAGTGAAGAGATGAGATATGGGCTGTAAGCTTCAGGTTTCCTAGAATGCGATTCACTCAACCAGCTAAAAATCTCACCGCTGTTCCCGATTTTCACAGTTTCTCTCTTACTTCTTACAGGACTTTTGAAAGTTGCCCAACACATTTTTAATCAAAAGGGACAGCTAGAATTTTGCATCACTTTTTCTTTACCTTCAAAACCGTAATTTTCCAAGAGCAATCAATGCAAAAATCCCACGACTAGTGTCTGGATATCGCTTTATGCAACTCAGACCAAAAATTGGATTTCCCGGATTTGTCACCTCTTGAAAAGGTTTTGATTTCCTCTTACACGTGTTATGGCATTAACCCAGACACAGTCTGTAAGGAGAAGAAGCTGTGACAAAACACTGTGACACAACTGGAGGCAGCAAGACTCCAACACTAACCTTTAGAACAGTAGGCTGCCCAAGCGCATTAAATCGCTTTGTTCTCCTACAACAAATATTTAATAGAGAGTTTTGAAATGGTTCTGTGGCTATGGCCAATTATAAAGGCTTACTGACAGAATATTTGTTGCTTGTTTTTCTGTAGCCTGTTCTTTTATTTTCAGCTTTTCTTTATCCCCACATTTATCCCTTTTATTTTGTCCTTGATCTGATCATTATTTTTAGGATAAAACTCACATGATGTTGCTGGTCCTGGCAATCAATTACGAGTCCCAGTGTAATAAATATAATTCTAAAATTAATTTGACTAGTAATTTAATCCAGTGATTTAGATACTATTCAGAGTTCTATAGTTACACAAGAAGATGGGATCTCTGCATTGTCCTGTATTATTTTACGTGAAAGAGGGACTGTTAAGAGAAAAGGCAACACTAACAGAAAGTGGGCGTTATCTTTCCTCAAAAAAGGGACTGCAAGTGTTTGGAGAGAGTTTGAGGTGGCACTTTGAGTCCCAGGATTTGAAGTCAGAGACCAGGAGACATCAAAGACTTAGACAGCCTGGTGTCTGTTCAAAACCAAACCAAAGGCACCAAATAGACTCTGCAGACCACTTTTCCACCAATCTTCCTCTTCAGTTCTGAAGCATTGTTCTTCAGCATCATGAAAGTACGGCTGTGTGATGTCTGCTTAGCCCTGAGTCTTGGCTCTGACAGTGGTCACAAGTGGATTCTCAGGAAAAGATGAAAACAGAGCAAGTGTTTCCACTCCCCAGGTACTCGCCCAGCCTCACAGCTCAGAATCCCTCTAAGCCAGAGGTTGTGTCAGCACTGATAGTTTTCTCTTCCATGAATTTATACAGTCTCTCAGCAAGTGTTCATAGGAGTACATGTGAGATTTTCCAAAAAGTGAACTGCTGACTTTTAACAGGAGTGAGATGCCCAGCTTCTTAACCAACTTTGGAATACCCTTTAGTAATAAGTAGTACTAATATCTTTTTCTAGATATTCCAAACAGCTCCTCATGCAATTGTCCTATTGGTTTGTTCATTTACTCTAGTAGCAGCACAACCACATGTTTTGCTATGCCTTGACTAACTGAAGCTTGAATTGGTACAGAAGACAGGTTGGAAAATCATGCTGGAATGGTGTAAGAGCATTTGACACAGCACACAGCTTTACATGGAGATGTTAAGCAGGTAAAAATCCCTGAATTTGCTCCCTATGATAGAAATTCACACTGCAAGACAACTGAACTGCTGCAATGTCTTGGCACTTACTGATCTTTTCGCACAAAACTGGGGCCAGATCCTGATATTCCTTTTCACACTGGCTCCACAAATGGCCTCACAATTGTCAGAGGTGCACTTGGGGAGGCAGCATTCCTCTGGATATTGAGCAGCATTAGAACCTGGGCCTCGGGAGGAAATCCTTTAGAGGCTGCCAGAGTTCAGCAGTGCACAGTAGGATGAAGGCCTTGCAGAGTCTGTGAATTCTACCCTTCTGCAGCATCAAAATAATTGTTCAGATAACTCAGATGCTGCATTCAGTTAACAAGGTAAAGCACATCGATAATCCTGTCGTGCAGTTTTGTTTGCCCAATGTTATGCTTGAAATGAGGAATCTAAAAAATCATTTTCAGAGGGAATAGATTTTTTTTTTTTTAAACACAGAGTTCAAACTCACAAACTACATTATTTTTAATCTGTTGCCTACTACATACCAATGAGGAAACTCTGGGTATCGCGTCTTAAACTGCTATGCAAATGATGCTATTTGTAAGTATTAACATAATTTACTGCTTACAGTCATATTCTCATTTCTAATAATTCTACCAGAATGGAGAGTCTTTTCACAGTACTCTTAGCCTGCAGGATAGTCTTTCATCAAGAAGCTGAATTTTTTAATAACCTGCCAGCATACGTTTTGTATGTGGCAGCTTATGCCAATGACACAATGTCTTCATTATCAAAAGAAACAGGTCTACATACTGTAATAGGACATTAAAGCATGCCTGTGCTCATAAACTAATGCTTTGATGTTTAAATGCGTATCATTACAATGGTATTCCTTAACAAAGGATGATTTTAATCCTCTGCTCTCAATGGAGACTGCAATTCATTATATATAAAAAAGGTCTCCCTGTTCTACAAGAGGGGGCCAGCTCAGAAGGCAGGAAAATTTGCACGGAGGTATTCAAACAAGATGCTCAAACTGGCACCAAGTTTCCCACTTTGCCAAAGGCCACTTCAATACTAGTCTGGACTTCAGGGAAGCCTTCCT